CTATGATTCTGAAAATTTGTCAAGTGTTTATACCCTATACATGTATCCGCCAAAATATAACTATCAAGAAAACGATGTACCAAATATCTATTTTCACTAAAGGTTTATACAGTCGTGTATGCTTACTTTATTGCATACAAAAGCGAATTTATATATTGGTTAAATTCACACACATATGTAAATCAATAGAATTCAGGTCTGTAGATTGGAGAAGCTGCTCAATAAAAAGAATTTATCACCAACCAAGCAATTATACGTAGCGATGTACGTGCCATCCTGATTTTCATTTCTTCCTTGCATTAAACCAGTATATAAATAAATTGCTCTTGAGGATGCTCAGTTAACGTTGTACAAAACCTCGTCTTCAAAACTATTTCAGTAACACTGCAGTTAATGTTACCTTCAGTGTTGTTATATTTTCTGGTCCTTCGGGATCATTCATGCCAACACTATAAAATGTTGTGAATTGAGTACCGCTCAAGCCGGTGCTAGGGGGCGTGAGGGATGTTGCACTTATTCATTATCCCTCATGTACAGACTAAATCAAACCGAGTCTGCAATTCTTATGTTATTTTGTTGTGATGAATGCTTCCGAGGGATCACTTTGTTTCCAGAATTTTAATATCAGCTTCTTTCTATTTAAAGACAAAATCCCTTGTTTACCTGGTATTCGGATAAAGAACGAGCTTCATCCGAAAGAAACATAGCACCTAATTCATTTATAGATGTTTATTTAGCCAATTTGCCAATAGCAAAATATCAAGTCCAAGCCTTAAAGGCATTACAAAACTTATATGGTGCATGGATTCAACATAAAATTAAACCCTAGTATTCTATAACATGCACGAAACAATTATAAGAAGACAAAGCTTACTTTACTTTGAAAGAACAGTCATGATATAGCTCTATATCTTTTCTATTGTTTATAAAAGACTGTTGTATTTAGGAAACATTGGTGCTTCAGTAAAGCGATGCTTTACGTACCATGCTCGTTATATTGAGAAAAACTCTTTCAAATTTGCAAACTTATCATCTACTTTTTTCTAGACCAAAAGGATCGAATCAGCCAAATGTTCATGTGATTATGCGAATTTGAAAATTAAATTAAATTTACACATTTGTTTTGTACATGTTGAGATACTGGAAAAAAATGCTATAATACAAACATACTGTAATATAAACATAATCATTTTCTTTTTAGATAAATAAAGCAGGTATATAACTATAAGAATGATTTGAATGTTTTTAGTTGACTTTACCAACTTTATTAACAACACTTTATTGTAAGTATTCATTGATTTTATCATGTGACAGATTAATTTACAAAGACTGGTGGTTCGGTTCCTGTCTTTTACTGTTCTACCACTATTCCGAAAAAGAATAAATACTAGAAAGTTACCTGAAACTACCTTTACCAGAGGAGCTGATAAGTCGCCATATGACTGTAACCCTTACACAGTGTTAATAAAATTTAAAATGATTGTTTGTTTGACACTGAAGAAATTTTAAAACAAACATAATTATTATGACATTCCTTCATTGCCAAACTGTTGTCTTAACGTGTACTTAAATTGCGATGTCTAAAAATCTGAATAAACTATTATTATATTAATTTGCCCTCTAGTCCGTTCCAAACAAAGATCCTTCGCATAACAAAACAACTTACAAAATTATCTTAAATAGAAATCTTAGTAGAATCCTTTTTGATGTTGCATGACAATTAAACTAAAATAAACAGTTTTTTACGTGTCAAAGAGAGTTCAAACCTGCACAAATCATTTGCCTCGTCAGAATAAAATAAATTATTTATAGCAGTTATCAGGGCTGGATATCAAAACTGCGTCGTATCCTTCAAAATGTAAACAAACGCCGCCATCTTGGAACGAAAAAGGTATGTTTTCGTTTTTATCTCTTTTTGTTGGATATGACTGAAAACCAGATATATGTATTAACACGTTCCACTATTTTCCGGTTCGTTCGGTATATGTTGTTTGAACAACTATTTTGTAAAACAAAAGTTAAAGCGAACTTGCAACTCGAAGCGGGCCAGAATGTTTATGAAGTTTTGTGGATACGACGCAGTTCATATTGCTTTATCTATCTTTTTTCCTTCAAATCAATCATATACCCGTTTAAGATTTCACCATAAACTTCAAAATGTAATTTTGCATCATTTACTAAAATTTCATTAAAAAGAGATGTTTATTTTCCAAGAAAATAATGATTTGTACGAAATGAAACGACGCAGTTGAAATTAAGATATGATACGACACAGTTCAATTTTTGTCAGTCTTTTCAACAAGGATAATTTTGGCAATATACGTCTATTTTACGAATAATTGCTTGTACTAGATAAAAAAGCAGATTATTCGCAGTTTATAGCATTTAAGTTATAATGTTCCGTTGCTTTAAATTATTAAGAATACAATACAGGGTGTTTCATAATATGTGATACACTTTTAATCAAATGTCTCTTTTATGTAAGAATGTCAGTAATAATGAAAAATGTACCATATTAAAGGGATTAAAGGGAAATGCTGTCCATTTATAAAGTGTAGTTTTTCCTTATTTAACCTACCAATAATATATTTTAGCTAGATTGTATGTGATGTCCAATATAACATTTAATTTGAATTTTTAAATTGCGAAAGCTACTTTTGACCATGACATGTTACTTTATTTATCATAATATCTAAAAAAAAAAGTTTATATTTTCTTGTATCTTCAACATTATTCCTTTTTTTTGCAAAAATATAGAAGTCTATAAACTTGAATCACAAACTTCATTTTGGCTAGCTACGCTCTTTGTAAAATGTGGTTCTGTATGTTCTAGGTAAAGACAGCTTTTTTGTTGTTTTATTTCAAACTTCCACTCTACCATTTAGCTTTACTGATGGCGAGGACCTCAGGTGCGCCTTTGTCAATACTTCAGGCAAAATGTTGCACCTGCAGAGAACCATCGACATTTTGAAACTTGCTTGCTAGGTTTTCTATGCGAAAGAATCAAAAGTCCCTGGTCGATTTCGAAACTCATAGCAGTTCAGTGCAAGTGATTTGAAGTCAGTAAACATAAAGAGCTTGGCCTCGGTCGGGGAGACAACTTTCTATTTTATTTTTTTTTTTGAATTTTTTTTCAACAAACTTTGTTTTGGTTTAAAATGTCAACTGTACAAATAAGTAGGGTTTTTTAAAATAAACTTCTGACACGAAGTTTTAAGATTATGAACAATTGATTTAATTACTTTGTATAAAGACAATAACATTTAAATTTCTTATTGAAATAAAATATTTTATCAATCTCTAAGATCACTTTTTACCTTGGTATTTCTTTAAAAAAAGTATGTTTCAGTGGTGTGAATAGCAGATAAATTTTCAATGTAAACATGATGCCATTGTTTGAAATTTTTTATTTTATCTGTCAGGCAATTCATTATCAAATAAAAATCGCACTTAAGTATGAAGGTATGCTAAGATACCATGTCTCTAGTCTGTGGAAAATTCGATGCGATAACCTGACCTAAATTTTCTCATCCCGGCTTTAATTCAAGATAGTGAAAACTTCTTCAATACTATTGAATCATCATGTTGGGCATATATCTGTATTAAATGTATCGTTGCAAAGCGTAAAATACCTTTGCAAAACGGACACCTTCTTTACATAATAATTTATAGTTTTATCATTTGTAATTCTATTTAAAATTTTATTTTTTAATAGAGAAGATTGATACTATAGTGCAAATATAGAAAATACATCTCGTAGGCGATAAAGAAATGCAATACGACAAAATCAGCGTAAAAATGACTAAACGCAACACTACTCTACTTGCAAATATATATCGAAGCCTAACCATTTGTAATATAATTTTAAATAGTTAATGTTCATTTTAAAGAGGAATGTATATTGCATTTCATACAGCTTTTTGGAATTTATAGATGCTTATGACAGGTGCTAAAATGGGACCAAAAAATAAAGCCATAAAAGTTTATAAAAAGATTATCACATTTTTTTATTTTCTTGGAACCAATGAGTGACCTCTGCTTTTGACTTAAGTTGTAAACAAGAAATATTGTTGGACGTTACTACCATACTTAACGCATATTTTTATAGCTTATTAATAACCAATATGCAGCCTGCAATGAAAATATAACTGCGTCGTATCATATTTTATTTCCAACTGCGTCGTATCATTTCATACAAATTATTATTTTCTTAGAAAATAAACATTTCTTTTAAATGAAATTTTAGTAAATGATCCAAAATAATATTTTGAAGTTTACGGTGAACTTTGAAACGGGTATATGATTGATTTGAAGGAAAAACACGATTGATAAAACAATATGAACTGCGTCGTAACCACACAATTTCATAAAAATTCTGCTCCGCTTCGAGTTCGCTATAACTTTTGTTTTACAAAATAGTTGTTCAAGCAACATATACCGAACGAATTCAGCTCCTCTTTATGATCCTTTACAAATTATGTCATACGTAGTAGGTATTTATTATCTTCTTGTAAATATATGGAAGGAATAAAATGCAGGTACTGTAACAATGAACTGTTGCTACAAAACTATTTCATGCTGATACTAATATAAATTGTTGATATGTTTTTACAGGAGAGAGTTTCATGTAAGCTTTAAGCTTTCTACTCAATCCTGAATGTAATTTATACATTGTAATTTTGTCTGTAAATACTTGATGAAGAAATAAATATTGTTTAAACCATACCGAACGAACCGGAAAATAGGTGGAGCATGTTAATACATATATCTGGTTTTCAGTCATTTCCAACAAAAAGAGTTACAAACAAAAAACATACTATTTTTTTCCAAGATGGCGGCGTTTGCTTACTTTTTGTAGGATACGACGCAGTTTTGATTCCCAGCCCTGAGTTATTCCCCATGACCAGTACAGAAAAGTCGCGTGACATACTCGCTGTGTGTGTACCGGTTGGGGACTACCGACTTTTTTAAATGTAAACTATATCTTTAAACTAGTATACGTGCAAAACATTACAATAACAAGATCATGTATCACTTATGATGTAACTGAATTTACAAATAAACAGAACATACTACTCCGGCCTTGTCACTAACTCAAAGAAATTGGCAGGATCAGGAAGGAATAAAGAGACAGTGTTAAATAGAATACTATACAGTGCTTTGTTCGTAAGTATGCTAGTACGTGAAATAACATGAAATAATATATTCAACACAATATTATTTTTATATTTATCTAGCTGAAATAAAATTCGTTCACATTTTTCATTTTAATTACATTTTGTTCAGCTGAAAACAAGTTGTTTAGTTATTTAGTGATTGTTATTGTCGAAATACACTACCGATTTATTTGATTTGCATTTTAGTTGTGCACAAATTATAATTCTTTGACACAAGTGAACTATTTAATTTATGCTTTGTTTTAAAACTTTCAAATGTGCAAAGTAATTGAAGCCTTTACGAAAGCAACTATTTATACAATATTGTCATATATAACCTGTCCAAATAGCTATATATTAATAATATGTAGACGTGCTTCTGGGCTTTTGAAATATGAAGACTGTTGTAGCTTTGCTGTTTGCCGTAACAAGCCTAGTCTTAGGAATTAATGCAAGAGGTAAAATATTTATTAAAGCTAAAATTACAAGAAAAATTGAAAGTTCAAGAACGACTAATCGCTTCATATTTTTGACGTTTTGCCTCGTTGGAATGTGTTAAACTATCTACTTTAAGATATGTGTGCTCGATATATGCTAAATATTTATTATGTCAAAAAATTAGTTCAATATATACGATTTATATAAATGCACGATTTTGTTTGTTGACTTATTTAATAAGTTTGCTTATTGGTATGTACTCAATGAAATGGATGTAATGCCAAGGATTATTCAGGTTGATGCCGTTAATTTTATTTCTAGTATTCCAAATTCAATACTGCAAAGAAAGAACATCATCAATGAATATTATTAAATAATTTTCAAAGTGGTTCTTAGTAAGACATAATGTAAAAGATGTCACCTGTCATACATCTATAAAAGATAAACTTTTTGTTGAAGCGTGCTGCAAGGATGGCTGGTTAGCCTATAATGGCCATTGTTACCACATTGGTTATGGGAAGCTTCTAACATTCTCTGAGGCACGGGTGAGGCAGACAATAAATTTATTTTTCTAGTATAGAAACGACATATTATATAAGTTAACTGAATGTATACATTTTTATACCACTTGCTTGTCAATGTTAATATGTTATTATGAAAATTTACTCACTTAAAGCTGCATGCCTCCAGATGAGCAAATTTGAGAAAATGTGTTAAGATTTTAAGAAAAGTGGAAAGATTAAACATTCAAGAAATAATGTACAAGTTATGTGTGATTAATGACTGATTTTGTAGTATCTTTCATCATGTTTTTACTACGTGACTAACGAAGAAAGGGCTATTTTGTATATTTTGATCTCTTTTGGTTATTATAACGGATTTTTAGCGCCGTTGCTTATTGCAGTTTGTAAATTGCTTTCTTATATCTCTTCACAATATTTAACTTTTCGATACATTTGCAAAATTATCATGTAAATTGGCATGAATCTGGAGGCATGCTGCGTTAATCAATGGCTTTATCTCTATCATCAAAAGGTTTGTTTTTGTAATTTTGGTTAATAGATATCTATTTGACAAATTTGTAATCAAAAGTGGCAAGATTTATATCTTTATCATCAAAGGGGTTTTTTTCTTTTGCAATTTTTGTTTATAGCTATCTTTTAGACAAATTTGTAATCAAAAGTGGCAATAATTATTTATTTTAAACACTAGTACTAACTGAGACGGTCGAATTCATAAATTCTTTACAAATGACTCCCAAGACCCATGTTCGATAAAGAAAACTCAACATATGCTTTAAATGTATTTTTCATACAGGTGTACTGTCACGATCTTGCTGCTTACCTTGTACGGTTTGAAACTTTCGCTGAATACACTTTCTTGGCAGGAATTCTGAGAAAATCTAACGGTAGTATTTAAGACTTATTTTTGTTCCTTTTCTGTAATTCTATTTGTTAAAGACAGAATGATTTATTTGTACTCAGAAATATGTTTAAAGAGTTCTATCGCTATAGGTTAACTGTTTGTATTGTAATCAAAACCATACACGTGTACATAAATTTGATAAATAACGATCGTTAAATTTCGATAAAACGGATGGCGCATACTGGAAATCATCACTTTATATCTACTTATTTAGCGTTAAGGGAATGTTTAATTATGTTAAAAAAAGTATAATAAGTGTGTTTAATGATAGAAACCATTTGACTTCATTTTTAAACTATTCAAGAAATGATTAAAAGAAAACAAATATTTACTGTTTAAGTAAACTTTATGGTATGTTTTGCCATTTATTGCTTTACATTTATAAGGGAATTAGTATTCTCTTAATTGAGACTCTTTCTAATTAAAATGAAGTAACAAAAGTTTCACTTTACTTTTACAATAACATCTGCAGTATTCCTGTTACATATGGAGCTTTATATATATTTTCCCTCTATTAATTATTCATAGCATAGCTTGTAGATATGATTGATGTTGATATTCTGCGTAAAAAGATATTCTTTCTTTTTCTTTATATTAAGCTGGCAAAACATGGATTGGTTTGACCGACAAAACTCATGAAGGGATCTGGAGATGGTTTGACACAAAAGAGCATGCTACATTCTCTGACTGGGCAGATGGGGAGCCCAACAATAAAAATGGCGCTGAAGACTGTGTACACTTTCAAAACAGCCAGGGATACAAGTGGAACGATGCCCCATGCAGTTTTAAAGCGATACCATTGTGCGAAATTGAATTAAGATAAATTGAAAACATTAATGAACAAAATTTGATATTTGTACTGTTATTAATTCAAGTGTATATTACTGAAGTACTGACAAGTTCATGTTTCGCAGCAGCAGGTGTTGAGTGCCGTCTGGCAGCGGTAAAAAGTTGCCACGTATTTATCTTCAGTCTTGTTATATTTTTCTGGTCTACTTGTTCAGGATTCTAGCAAATTTTGTCTTATTTTTGGCAGTGTTAAAACGTTTTTGAGTTATCTTCATATGTACTTACTCTTATAACAATTTCTAAAATGTTCTAGGGCATACATAGAAACCCCAATGGTCCATAACCATTTACCTTGAAATATGAAGACGGCAGTGTTTTATTCTGAAACATATTTAAAAACAGTACGTAACTATACCAACCTTAACACATACTGTTTTGAGTTCTTAACTTTTAGCTCGACTTAAAAAAGAAGAAGAGGTATTGTTAAAGTCGCGGCGGCGTTGCCGTTGCCGGTGCCGTTGCCGTCCGTAAACTTGTACCTGGATCATAACTTTTTAGCTCTTGGTGTATTGTCTTCATACTTAGCCACAACAACCCTTGGGACAAGACCTTTCAGTAGACCACACTAACCTTGACCTTTATCCATAAGTGACCTTGACCTTCAAATTTGCTTGATCTTGCTATTATTGGCTGTAACTTTGTTATTTTTGAATGGATTGTCATCAAACTTGAATATAATAATTTTCAAGGATAACCCTTAAAAATAATCAGACAGACTTTGACCTTCACTCATTTATGACCTTGACTTTGAAGGTCAAATTATTGAAATTTTCATTGTTTTGGCTGTAACTGGCTATAACTTTTCTATTATTGCTATTTATAGAATTGCGTGTTTCTACTTATAGAATTGCGTGTATCTTTTTATGGAATTGCGTGTATCTTTTTATAGAATTGCATGTATCTATTTATAGAATTGCGTGTATCTATTTATAGAATTGCGTGTATCTATTTATAGAATTGCGTGTTTCTATTTATAGAATTGCGTGTTTCTATTTATAGAATTGCTTGTTTCTATTTATAGAATTGCGTGTTTCTATTTATAGAAATGCTTGTTTCTATTTATAGAATTGCGTGTTTCTATTTATAGAATTGCGTGTTTCTAAATATATATTTATATATACAAAATATATAGACAAAAATAAATGTGACAAGACAGACCGATTAAATTTATAAAAAAGGAAACGTTAAGATTTGTTAAAACATTTCTTTGTTTGATTTTAGAAAAAGTAAAAAGTCAAGCGTTGCCCCGCCCGGCGGTGGCTTTGTTAAACAGTATCGCAACCACAATAGTTTAATCAATGTAGGTTTCGACCAGAATAATTGTTGATAATTGTTGAGGAAAATAACTTAATAAGAAATGATATTTGTAAAAAACTTTTCCACCAATTTATATTTAAGGAGATATACCTATTATTAAATTGAAATCGTTATTAAGTGCGATTCATAGCTCGATTAAAGTAATTGCCATTAACCTTGTCATTTTTAAATCATTTTGCCTAAAGTGTGCGAATGAGGTATAGACATAGATTAAAACGTGTTAAAATTTGGAAAAAATGTCCAGTCCCAGCATGTCAAAGTATATCATTTAAGCAAACTTTTTTTTTTTGAATTCTGTTGTAATAATGAATAACAAGCATATTGGATGCTTATTACCTGAAGAAAGTAGCGTTGAATGTGAAATAATTTCTCATTAAAATATAAAAAATGTAAACAATGTGACATTCTTACTTCCATACAAAAGGCTAAAACATTTTAACTGTGCTGAAATACAAAAACTGCAAATGAAGCGGAAGGTGAGCTATCAATATGGCCAATATGTATCTTTTCGGAAACTGTAACAGGACAACAAGGCAAAGAAAATTTTGAGAGATGAATACAATTTTATTTTTGGGCTTAATGAGCCATAAAAGACAATATTAAAACATTTGGAATAGTAAGAAGATTACATGACTACTGAAATGTTTATTGTAAGCCATATGTGTTATTCCCTTCTGAAATTTGCTTGGGGACATTAAGAATACAGGGTTAAGTGTGGGTTAGGGGGTTCAAAACAAATTTCGGGGATACTGGGTTTTTTTAAAAAACAGTTAGTTTTGAGTTTTTCAAAATAATTTAAAGCCGGTCCCAAGGGGGCGTACGTATGTTGAATTTTAAAATTTACCCCTTTATGAAAAAGCTCATTAAGACTGGGGCCCTCCCTATTTTAAACATTTTTTTATTGTCTTTGCTGTTGTAGGATCTCCTTTTTTCAAAATATTTACAGTCAGAAAAAACTATTGAACATACATGAAAAAAGGTCTTTCAATTCAGGCAAAGTTCCGGAAAATTTATTACGTGTTTAAATCCCTATCTGCGTTATATGTGACAATCAAGAAAACAATGGACCAAATATCCATGTTAACAAACAATCGTGTGTGTTAACCTTTTTGTATGAAAAAGCGAATATGCATTTTGTAACAATTCACACACACATGTAAATCGATAGTGTACTGATTTGTAGAATAGAGTGGCCGCTCAATGAAATAAATTTATCACAACCCACGCAATGATGCGTATATACAATTGAAAGGGACTGTGTCATCCGGTTGGAGCTGAATGGTACTGATGTTCATAACTTCCTTAGAACCGTAAAACCAGACTGAGTATATAATTATTACTCTTTAGGATTGCTCAATTAATGTTACCTATCAGGCATTTCATAGTACAAAAACTCTTCATAGAATGTTGCTCGTTTATTCAGCTTGCTGTAAGTGTAACCTTGACTTCGGCTTCTTTCCATTTAAAGCCTTAAATTCCTTGTTTACCTAGCCTAGATTTCAAAAAGGGGACGAGTTGGAACCCTTAGGACAAAGCCAAAAACAAATTATTTTCGAATGTTCATTTAGCTAATTAGGAAACAGCAAAATACTAAATCCAAGACTTTAAGGCATTTACATAATTGATATGGTGCGTGGATACAATATTATGTCAACCCCTAGCATTCTCTGCACGTGCATGACTAAAATTATTGAAAACAGCATGCGTCCTTATCTTAAAGACAACTGAATACATCTACGAGGGTTGTTCAAAAAGAAATAGGACTGGAGCTCTACTGTTCACATGTTTTAATTTACGCACATAATTTTACAAGAAACAAATATCGGAACATATTCTCTGTATACAGTGAAAAAATCAATACAAAATGTTTACAAATAACAATTCTGTGAATTTTTCAAATGACAAGGTGTACGAAACCTAGCGCAAGCTGACAATACAATAATTGACGTTCATGACGTCGTTAACTAAATACAAAATATAACAAGTGCCATCTATCCTGAAAGTATTCTTCCTAGTGCTCTAGGTGTCTGAATTATGTGATCATGATCAGGTCTCATATGTGGAGATTAAGCGAGAAAGAAAGCGATCACAATTTCGTTTAACTCTCCAAGAAAATGCCCCATAGCCGGCCATTCTCCACTTTTCTCGAATATTTGAGAAAACTTGGAACTCAACAAGCATGGACTTATAAAGCTTAAGCAAAATCGATTGATATTATTAATGTTCACATGTATGTCATCGAATGTTTTTAAAACAATATGATTATATACAGTAAAATAACAATATTTATCCATTGAAAAAAGTATCATTTATTGTAAAAAATTGGCGGAAAATACTACTAATTTATTAATACCATTAATCATTATCATATTAATTTATTTAAACCAAGTAAATTGTATATCTAATGAGATAAAATAGAAACGTCTTAAATACAATCCTTTGGTGAGACCTGAATAAGTAGACCCGAAGCAGACATAAAAAATGCCGGACAGTCCTGGTATCGTTTACCGTCGATACATTTACAGGGCTTTTGCAATTGACGTCACCACTTCACGTCGCGCAATTTTCCGCTTTCATCTCCTCACACATTTCTGTGAGTGATTTTGTATTCGCCGTTTTTAAATTGATTGTACCAGCTGAAAACGAGTGTCCCTGGTTGCAGGATAATTTTTCCTTTCTTTTAATGTTATCATTTTGTAAGTATCTGGAAAAAATATTGCCAATATGTTTGGCAAAATTTAAACGATTGCGCGAAATTTCGGTTTGTTAACCGAGTTTTCCGTATTTCTACCATTTAACGGGCAATGACCACGGCTTAGTTCAAAAACTGCATTTAATTATGCCATTTCATGCCCGAATGACGTCAAAAAATTACATTTAATGTCACTTTAATATAGATTAAATTGTGGTTGGTGGATAATATATTGACAAAAAGAAGTAAATAAATTAAATAAATCAGAAGTACAACTTAGCTTTCAATGACTACTTTTTATGTGGCTGCGCCGGGTACGTGTTACCATGTGTTTATTCAATATCACAAGAAAAACGCCGCGTTCATCACAAATAAATTAATTAACTTAATGCCATAAATTGTAGAAAAACAATTTAACGAATCCCTATAACATATGAAAATATTTTAAATTTGTGATGAAATATGAATATGCAAGACTCTCAGTCCTATTACTTTTTGAACAACCCTCGTATTTCTTCATTTTGCAACAACTATGTCATTGTTTTATGACTTCTAGTGTTCAGAAGCCTTGCAATGTCTTACAGACTGCCGAATATCAAAATGCTGTATTTCTGCAACAACGATGTCATTTTAAGTAAGACTGTGATCTGTACTACCTTTTGGAGAGAAACTAGAGAAGTATCGTTGAGTTTCTATTAAAGTCACATTTGTTAATCAAGATGCTTTAATTAATAGATGTTGGTTTTACATTTAGAATATGCAAGTCCAAGAAAATGACAGATAGATGAAGAACAACAGAGACAAAGCTTACTTTGAAAAAAACCTGATAAAGCTGTATATCTTTTCTATCGTTTTTATCAGACTTCTGCGTTCAGGAAACGTGTTCATTGGTGCGTCAGTAAAGCGATGCTCTATGTATGTTCAGAAAATCGCTTTCAATTTTGCAAAGTTATCATTTACTTTCTTCTAGACCAAAACGATCGAATCAACCAAATGTTCATGTGATTATGCGAAATTTGAAAATTAAGTTTAATTCACATATTTGTTATGTAATATTGGGGAAAACTGGGAAACGAAATACTATTTAATTAAAAAACATAAATGGGGAATATTTTAAAGGGTAAAACATTTTTTTTTTTAGGGGAGATAAAAAAGATTAATTTAAGTTTACGGGAAAGTGGGGAATGGGTTTTTGTTGACTTTACCTACTTTTTTTAACAAGAAAAATTTTTGTAAAGGAAAATCTTTGGGAGTAAAAATTGATTTCAAACATGCGACTGATTTATTTTTGCAAAGACTGATAGATTAGTTCCTGTCTTTTACTGTTTTATCACTTTTTCGAAACAGGATATATAGTAGAAAGTTACATGAAATGTTCCTTTACAAATGGCGTTTGAATGCCGCGTATGATTGTAACACTTACAAATTAAAAATAAAATTTAAAGGATTGTTTATTTGACTCGAGAGAAGATATTTAACAAACATAATTACATTTTGTGTTATGACATTCCTTCATTGCCAAACGGTTGTCTTTACGTGCACTTAAATTGCGATGTCTAAAAAGGAACGCTTCGTCAATGAAATCGGAATCATCTGTTAAAACTAAACAATTTTTATTTGTCCTCTTGCCCATTCGAAACAAAGATCCTCCGCATAACAAAACAACTTACAAAATAATCTAACATACACATCTTTAAACATCCTTTTTGATGTTGCATAAATAGAATTGAAATAAACAGTATTTTACGTGTCAAAAAGAGATACTATTACGTAAACATTCTTAATATTTGTTACAAACGTGCAAAATCCTTTGCCTCGTCAGAAAAAAATAATAAATTATTTACAGCAATTATTTCCCATGACCAATACAGAAGCGTCGCGTGACATATTCGCTGTTTGTGTGTGTGTGGCGTGAACGGAGGGGGGGGGGGGGCACTATCGACATTCTTAAATGTAAAATATATTTTTCAAACTTGTGTACGTGCAAAACATAACAATAACAAGCCCATGTATCTACTTACGATGTAATTAAATTTACAAATAAAAAGAACATATCACTCTGGCGGTGTCACTTACTTAAAGAGATTGGCAGGATCAGAAAGGAATAAAGAGACAGTATTAAAATAGTATACTATACAGTGCCTTGTTCGTAAGTATGATACTTGAAATAACATGAAATAATATATTCAACACAATTTTATTTTGTATTTATCTAATTAAAATAAAATTCGTTCACATTTTTCATTTTAATTACAATATTTTCAGCTGACAAAAGTTGTTTAGTTATTTTGATTGTTATTGCTTGATATATGCTACCGAGGTATTTGATTTGCATTTTTATTATGCACGTATCATAATGATTATCAAAAATGAACTATTTAATTTATGTTTTGTTAAAAAATGTCCAAATGTACACAGTAATTGAAGTATTTACACAAGAAACTTTTTTTACAATATTGTCATATATAACCTGTCCAAATAAATATATTAATTACATCTAGACATGCTGTTTGGAAATATGAAGACCGCTGTAGCATTGTTTGTCGTGACAAGCCTTGTGTCGGGAGTTAATGCAAGAGGTAAAATGATTTATGAAAGCTAATATTACAATTAGCTCACAACATTTTTAGAACTGAAAGTTCAAGATTGACGTTTAGTCTCGTTGGAATGTGCTAAACTTTTTATTATCAAATAAAGAGTGCTAAATATATGCTAGATATAACTTATGTACAACATTAAGTACAATGTATACGATTTTCATAGATGCACGAATTTGTTTGTTGACTCGTTTGCTTGTCGGTATTTAATCAGTCAATTAAGTGGATTTAATGTCAGTTATTGTTCCTGTCGATGTTGTTGATTTAATCATTAATTCATCAAAATCATTGATGCATAGGAGGAACATTATGACTAATTTCGTTATGAATATTATTTTATATTTTCAATGTGGTACTTAGTCAGACATACTAAGTAATCAAAAATATTTCACCTGTCATATATCTATAAAAGCTAATTTTTTTGTTTAAGCTTGCTGCAATGATGGCTGGATACCATATAAAGGTCATTGTTACCACATTGCTTATGGGACGCTTCTTACATTTTCTGAGGCACGGGTGAGGCAGACAATGACTATACTTTTCTAGTATATATACGACATATTAGCAGTTAACAGAATAAACACATAAGTTTATTATATTTGTATAAAGTTAAATATTATTTTATCTCGTGTTTGTCAACGTTTATGAGATGTTATGAAAATTTTATCATTTAAAGATGCATGCTTCAAGAGCTTTGAGAAAATGTACTAAGATTTTAATACAATATTATAAAAATCTGTCAATGATGGGGGAAAAATTACTGATTTGTATTTATCTATATCTATGTTTACTAAGGGCTAACAAAAGAAAGGATATTTTGGCATTTTTTTGATCTTTTGGTTATAAAACAGTTTTTAAGAGCCTTTCCCTTTGAAATGTAAAATTTCTTACCCCACTTCAAATATTTTTTTTTAAATACATTTGAAATTTTTCAGAAAAAAACCCTTAAATCGGGGCTTTCATTTTAATAATGGCTTGTCTTATCAACAAAGGAACATCTTTAATTTTAGTCTTTATTGAAAATCCTTTCGAAAAATTTAATCAAATTTGGGCCAATGTTTTTTTGTAAACACTTGTAATAACTGATAAATATTTTACATGTGTATGGTTTACAAGTCCGTGTTCGATAAATAAAACTAACCACATATGCTTTAACACGTATTTTTTCATACAGGCGTACTGCCACGATCGTGGAGCTTACCTTGTACGGCTTGAAACGTTTGCTGAACACACATTCTTGGCAGGAATTCTAAGGACAACAAAGGGTAGTATTTCAGATTTATTTTACAGTTCCTTTTCGCTCATTTTGTTTGTTGAAGACAGAATGATTTTGTGGTACATTAATTGAATAACCATGATGGTAAAATTTCGATAAAACGGATGGCGCACGCAAGAAATCACCCCTATATACCCACTAAAAATCTAACAGAAAAATTGGTTAAGAGCAGGTTTAATTAAGTTTAAAAAATATTATGAAATGTGTTAAATGATTGAGACCCCTTGACCTCTTCAAAAAATGATAAAGTACACGAAAAAGAGAAATTATACAGTATAAGAACATTAAATTGTATGTTCCTGTCAGTATTTGCTTACATCTGTTACGATTAGATAGAGTATGCCGTTACAAATGGATAAATTCCATTATTTTAGTATCCAAAATTAGGAGCTTTAAATTTATTTTTTTCTAATGCAAAACATAGTTTGTTGTAATTGTTGGTATTGACATTCTAATTGTTCTTAATATCAAATTTTCTTTTTTGCTTTATATTCAGCTGGAGATATGTGGATTGGATTGACCGACAAGAGTCACGAAGGGATCTGGAGATGGTTTGACACACACGAGCATGCTACATTCTCTGACTGGGGAAAAGGGGAGCCCAACAATGCTCATGGTGCTGAAGATTGTGTACACTTTAGTCCCGGTCGGGGCTACAAGTGGAACGATGTGCCATGCAGTTTTAAATTTAGACCATTGTGCGAAACTGAATTCAGATAAATTGCAAACATTAATGAACAAAATTTGTTACTTGTTTAGTTATTATTTCAAGTGTATATAATATATACATACAAATGTATTAACAAAGAACTGACAAGTTCATATTTCACAATAGCAGGTATCGAATGCCTTGTGGCAGCTGTATAAAGTTGCACATTTTGTTTCATTCAAGGGTTGTTATATTTGTTCTTGGCTTTCTTGATCATTGTCTCAAGTACATTAAGTATTAAAGTAGTTCTGTACATTCATATACATTTGTTGTTTCCTTTGCTTCCAATCGATCTTAGCATTTACAGATTGTATTCAAGAAATTTTTATCTTTTAAAAAGAAACATGCCTTCAGACTCAAAGAATATACAAGAGGGCCATGCTGGCCCTGAGTCGCTCACCAGAAACAACGGCTTTACAGTGTTGTAAATTATTTTTTAAAGGCAAGGCTCTTTCAGCAAGTTCAGCTCAACTTTAACTTGCCCCTCTAGTAATATACTTTCACAACATTGATTGTTTCAGCTTTTTTTCTTCATAATAAAAAATAGGGCCAATAAGATGGCCCTAGATCACTCATCTAACCAATCATTTCATTATTCACAATATAAATTGATATATTTTGCCCTAATATTTTGGAAAGGCTTTGTTAAAAATATGTATGCTGCAAGTGTGTTCCTATGAGATTATGTAGAATAAATGCAGAATAAATGACCACTGGAGCAGGATTAAATTTGACTAAACAATTTTTTTTTAAACTTTTTTGAATGAAAACACAAATTGTCACATGCAAAACATGTAAGGTGTAGATGCTTGAGGACAACAAAATTTTAATACATTCTGTATGGTTACATAACTGTACCTCAAAAAAAGACAATAGGTCAAACATTGTAAAAAATATGGAAAGTAGGCTAGTTGATATCAATACTCAATTTAGCATCAGAAATTACACACCTAGTCCAAACTTTAAGTCTGTATGTCAAAAAACACAAGAATTATGGTCAAATTATATCAAAAATATCAAAAGTAGGTCAGTTGAAATAAAAATTCATTTCGGCATCAGAATTTACAAACCTGGTCCAAATTTAAAATCTAGATGTTAAAATACAAGAAAATAGGTCAAATGGTGTCAATAAAAATAGATCAAATAATACCTAAAGTAAGTCAGATGGTATCAAATTTCAAGTATGTACATAAAAGACAAAAAAGTAGGTAAAGCAATATTAAATATATCAAAAGTATCATATCAAAAGTTTATTCAATATCAGAAATTAAACCCCTTGTCGAAATTTTCACCAGGTACATCAAAAACAACAAACTTGGTCAAACAATATCAAATAATAATATCAAAAGTAGTCAAATGATATCTTAATTCATTTTGCATCAGAAATTGCATTCATTGTCCAAATTTCAAGTCTCTGTACATCATTCCAAATTTCAAGTCTCTGAACATCAAAACAAAAAAGTATGTGGAATGGTTTCAAAAATATCAAAAAACAGTTCCACTGATACCAAAACATGATAAAGACCACCCACCCAAGAATTCTACAGACAAAGTTTGGTGATCATCCATCGATAAGTTCTGTAGAAGGAGATGTTAAAAGGTTTTTCTATTTTTAGCTTTAGCAGCCCCTAAAAGGGGCAAATGAAATAAATATGAGCAAACTTGATAAAAGGCTACCTAAGAATGCTACAGACAAAGTTTGATGATCATCCATCAATTAGTTCTGTAGAAGAAGATGTCTAAATGTTTTTCTATTTTTAGCCCTAGAGACCCCTTAAAGGGGCCAATCAAAATAATATGAGCAAACTTGATAAAAGACTACCTAAGAATGCTACAGACAAAGTTTGGTGATCATCTACCGAATAGTGCTGTAGAAGAAGACATTTAAAGGTATTTCTCTTTTTAGCTTTAGAGATCCCTTAATTGGGCCAATCAAATTAATATGAGCAAACTTGATAAAAGACTACCCAAGAATGCTACAGACAAAGTTTGGTGATCATCCATCAATTAGTTCTATAGAAACAAACATTTAAAGGTTCTTCTTTTTAAACCTATAGCGGCCCTTAAAAGGGGCCAATCAAATTAATATGTGCACGTTTTATTAAAAAAGGATATGACCCTACTATTTTAAGACATACTGCATGTTTAGTGTTCAACCCTTTTACAGTTGGACACTACGCTTTCCTCTTTTGATTGCATCTGACGGACCAAGTGGGAGACTCTATGATGGATAGTTCGTAAAGCCCTTTGGGGACTGAATTGTCTTAATGTTCGTCTTCTGCCTTGCTTCGTCGGGCCCTTGTAGGTGATTTTCTTGTAGCTCTGTCTTCCTTTAGGACATTGAGTACTTTTGTTATGGTCATTGGGTTTACTTTTATATGTTCCTACATGATCATTTTAGTGTTTTACTTATTTAACCTTGTGTAACGATGACAACTGTTAGAATTTCACTTGGCGGGGATTCATTTTATTTACACTGTCTCGTTTATAGGAACATTGTGGGGCTAAGAGCGAGGTTTGGTGCACCATTAACCGGTTTAAACTCCCCAGCAGTCATTATTGTGCTGCTGACCGTTCCAAGGCGGCGCCCCACTGTGTTCCTCAGATGTATGTCTATGTTGTTTCATACTGTTTTGGTGACACTTTTGCTTGTGTCCTTTGTTGTTTTATCGTCTACGGTAAGTATCTTCCCCATTGCCTCTAGTTTTTATTTCTTTGATTAACCCCCCCCCTTCCCCCGGTCTCCTGTCCCCTTCCCCTTTGTGGGCCTATTTTTATTTTCTTTGTATTCCTAATCAGTTACAAATTATTTATCATTTAATGATTAACCTGTCCGTGCTTTGTCTTTGCCCTGTCCTGTTTCTGTTTGGGGTCCGCCTGGGCTCCTTGCCATTGGTTCTTGTTGCTGGGTCATATGGGGGTTGCGTTCATTGAACGCCGCCTTTCCTTGTTGATCTTGTTTATCATATTTGATAAAAGACTACCCAAGAATGCGACAGACAAAGTTTAGTGATCATCCATCTATTAGTTCTGTAGGAGAAAATGTCTAAAGGTTTTTTTATTTTTAGCCCTAAAGACCCATAAAAGGGGCCAATCAAATTAATATGAGCACACTTGATAAAAGACTACCAAAGATTGCTACAGACAAAGTTTGGTTATCATCCATCAATAAGTTCTATAGAAACAGACGTTTAAAGGTATTTCTATTTTTAGCTATAGCGGCCCCAAAAAGGGGCCAATGAAATTCATATGACCAAACTTGATAACACACTACCCAAGAATGCTACAGATAAGATTTGGTGATCATCCATCCATTAGTTCTGTAGAAGAAGATGTTTAAAGGTTTTTCTATTTTTAACCCTAGAGACCCCTAAAAGGGGCCAATCGAATTAATATGAGCAAACTTGATAAAAGACTACGTAAGAATGCTACAGACAAAATTTGGTGATCATCCATCCATTAGTTCTGTAGAAGAAGATGTTTAAAGGTTTTTCTATTTTTAGCGCTGCTGACCCTAAAAGGGGCCAATTGGAATGACATGAGCAAATATAAGTGTGACTGTCACAAGGATGCTACAGACCAAATTTGAAGTAAATCTGCCCAGTAGTTTCAGAGAAGAAGACGATTGTTGACGCATGACGACGGACGACGGACGCCGGAGCATCCCCCTTTGATACTAATAGCTCACCTGAGCCTTCGGCTCTGGTGAGCTAAAAAGAAAATCTACAGTTGTACTATATTTTAAAATCGAAATATCTCTTTAGAGCGATCACGTATTGAAACTTTTACTGGTCTTAGTAAGAATTTCATGGAGGTATACTGACGTGTTTGATTTGGAGTATTGCTGCAGAACATTGTACCTACTTTAAATCCCCTTCTCCAGTTAGACGAACATTTAACGTACTGGTAAATGAAATTACCGTATATCAAACGCATTTACCGTAAATTGATGGTACATGTACTAGCCTCGCGAGATAATGTTATAATGTTGGACGGCAATAAGCAGTTAGAGTTTAAACCGATTTGTCCGTTTGAAGCTTGTTCATGCCTTGCACAGACTGTATTTGGATTTTGTTGTCTTGTTTTTGGAAATTCTTAAATGTTCGAAATTTGCAGGTTATTCAGCAAGAATGGAACATTTTTTTCATCAAACATATTATTGTATATAATTACTCATCAGATACATGAGGTGAAATTTTCGCAGCTTAACAAAGAAGACCTATGGTCGCGCTGGGTATTGGCAAAACCGCGCAAATGTGACTTTCAATATCTCAAATGACTAAGTTTATGCAAAATCATTCGTTATGAAGTGTTTTGTTTGAATTAAATTATGCAGCTAATTAACAGATTTTACGCGAATTTATGCATTATGTAATATATGTATAACAGTGTTATTCATAATTGTGTACAAAAGTAAGCTAGAAGTTTTGCCTCGTACATAATATATGTATACTTGCAACAGACATGGACATGCTGAACAATATCAATATAGTGGTGATCTATGATTGTAGATGATATAATTTTGAAACAGTTTTTGTTCTTTAAATGGGTTATCGTCTTTTATTTAACAAATATGAATTTAATTAATGTATCACCTCATATAGAGGAATTTGATGGCAAACAAATCTTGCAATGAACAATACCCACGGACGATTATGAATTTAAGGCAAAATAAATAGAGTAGATATCAATATAGATGGAAACTCCAGTAAAAACTTCTAACTGTATTTTTTTATTCAAAAGTACAACTTTTCGACTTCAAAGCCTTCAACACACACGATCTTCTCTTCTATATAAGTCAATGAATAGATAGCGACAGACACTGCTCAAATTGAATCATACATTTCCTGTGCATTTACCTTAGAAAAGGAGTGCGTTGTTGTAAAATAATATAATGTACGGAAATTTTAAAATAGATCTACCTCAATTTAGTGCGATAATGAGGTGTAAGACGACTTATTTTTGTTCGATTTGATTAGATGTTTTTAACACAAATCAATTAATTTGATTCACCGGGACAAGACCATCTTTAGTCATTCTGAGTGAATGTTCTCAAGGTTTTTGTCTAGGAGAATTTTTGTCAAAAGACAAATGTTCTACAAAAGACGATACATTACCTTAGGCCTAGACAAGAACTACAAACAAATTGAGAAAAGGTTCGGTGAAATAAACGTTTTTAATCTTTGTGAATAAAATAGATTGATTTTAATCGAATTAAAATCAGTCGACTTACAAATCATGATCTCACTAATTGGAGGCCCTTTAACTTTTCCTTAATAATATACAATTCAAGTTGAATATAATGACGAACGCCGGTAAGCCTGAGTGATTTAAAACGACTTCGTGAAAAGTGTAATGGTATAAAGCAAGCATGCTAGTTAATTTTGTACAACACAAATGTTGACTTCAAACCACTTGCCTTTCACCGCTGTGGGTTCGAGTCCCGTCAGGGACTTTGAATTCTTTCAAGTGAGGAAGCCTTACAGCTGGCTTACGGGACGTCGGTGGTTCTATAGGTACCCGTTCGTGCTTAAAAAAATGCACAGAAGGGTACGTGAGGTCTTACTCACCAGTAAAGCTGGAACGTCACCATATGACCTTAACTGTGTCTGTGTGACGTAAAACCCAGTAAAACAAATAAAACAAAACATATATTGAAAGTTCCGTATGAGATAACGTGTATATTTAAAGAAATATCGAAAGATTAACATGTTGTACCTGTTCACAATCAACCTTTTAATATTAAGTAAATATCATTTTTTTTGTTCTTGTTCTGTCACAAATATGGTTCCCAGTCTAGTCTCTTAAAGTTTTCTGAAAGACTGTTGTTGGCCAATCTATGAATTCATCTCTGCTTTAATGATATACTATGACTGTGATTCGTTATTTCCTGCTTGTTTATAAGAAATAACTGTTTCCCTAACTATAAGTATCATAATAATCAACAGTCAATGTTTGTTTGTGTTTTAGTTTTCACTTTTGCCAAATTACTTGTAGATAATAAAAAGGTTAAAGAAAAAAAACAGTGTCGATGTGTTTACAGTTTAACCAGAATTTTATCTTTCCACCGACGATGTACCGCTGCTACAACATAAGTACAAACCATAATTATTGTTATTTAGATCATGGCAATTATATCACTTATGCGCTGAAAAGATGCAATAATTGTAAGAATACAACTCGAGCAGAAGGTATATAATTGTATAGATCATGTACTTTAATATGGAAATTACAATCTAACAGACACATGCGAAGGCTTTTTTATGTTAAGTATTGTATTTTGCCTGTTTAACATTGAAAAAAGAGTATAATATGCATATACTTGTATATGTATAATTGTATATTTGACTTCAGGCGGACCTGTATTTTTCCATGTTGTAACATAATAAATAAATATATGATCTTGAAAACTATAAAATATCACCTTTCATCAGTACTTAATTTTTATATGTTTAGTGCTTATATATGTTAAATGTCACCAGTAAAAACCATACAAGAGAAATGTCCTCCTTTAGTATGATTGTTTTAAATTTGTTTTCATTGGTTAGAATCCGGGGTTACTGTGAGGTCGGTACAATATTTTCATGTTTATTCGGATTGTACTTACCAGATAATCGTCTTTAAATCACAAGTGAGTTGCATGTTTTCGTTGAATATCTGTTATATAATACATTTGATCAGACTATATGCAGGTTGTTATGAATTTATGTATACAGCTCACAACATAGCAGAACGTCTAAACGAATAAAGAGTCCTCATTAATTTATTTTTGAAACGAAGTTCGATTGTTACAGTGTTTCGAAATATGTCAGTTTCATTAACAAAACTTCATTTAAACTTGCATAAACATAATAAGGAAAATTAAGTTTTCCTGTTAAACATATAACTAGCGAATTTCAAAACTTATTTTAAACTCTCATTGTTTATTATCGAGCTTCCTCCTTGATACGTACTTATGTGATGGATATAGAAACAACTTAAACCATTCACAGATAAGAGAAAAAAACGACACATGAGAAAAAAACCCGGTTAAAGTAAGGGATAAAAGGAATGTTTCATTGATATCTGTTCATGGCAATTTTTGTAAGTATAATGATTAAATTAAATCATCTTTATTCATCATTTTATGTAAAATATAAAAAAAAACACATAAAAATGACATTAATAAGTACATACTGTGAGGACGTAAAGTACCTAAATTCTTTACGGATTTTTATTTTCTCTTATCACAAGTTTAGATACATATTATTTGTTTTTCGTACATAGTCGTTTGTATTTTCTTCATCAATGATCTACATTTTTATGAATTAAACATAAAATGCTTTGATTTTCTAGTATTGAGATATAAAGGACAAATTAAGAGACTTCAAGGAAATGAAGATCGCTTTTAAATTAGCACTGTCATTAGCCGTAATGGGCCTAGTACCAGAAATCGACGCAGGTAATGATAATAATAATAATTATTGCAAAATTTGTGGGTTATTGGGTAAATGCGCGTCAGAAATAAAAACGGGTCTAGATTAAGTGTATGGAGAAAATATTTTCTCCATATCTTACAATTGCCAGGTAGGCGTCAATGTTTAAGGAAGGTAGGACGTCAGCACTGTCAAAGCCAAAGTTGATGAAGATGCAATATTTAACTTAGGGGAGAGTAATGACATTTTCGGGCTACAGCGCGTCATGTGTGTTTTCCATCTTGAAAGAAAAAATCAAAATAAGATAGAAATTATTTTGATTTCTACCTTATTTTGATTTCTTCTCTTAATTTACTTGTTGTAATAAGAAAAGTTAAAGTTAAGGAAAATATGCGCCCGTTGAATCCCTCATTTGCTAACCTCTGACCAGAAAATTGAACGGATTGTAAAAGCCTCGATCTTATTGTCTTGGTTCAAAGATCGAGACCTTAGACGTCTGAGAGAAATTGATTGTAACAGGGCCTGGCAATAAACGTTAACCCAGTAACAAAATGTGGGTACATGAAAAAAGCGATCGCGCAATTGTTGCTCGATGTAGCAGGAGCGTTAAAGAGTTATGTACGCTTACCTTTTTGACAGTGATGGAATAGTGATATTTTAATGATCAAAAATACCTTGCAACGATATGCTTGTTTTGTATTATAATTAGTTGCTTGCAAATGAAGTATTACCTGTGATTCTGATTTCAAAACAATATGTCAATGAGAATTGAATTTCGGAGACCGTTAACTTTTTATGCGTGTTATAGCATTCAAAATCTAAAATACATTGTTGAAAACTCCAGGTTGTTGTCAAAACGGCTGGATACAATATGAAGATCATTGCTACTATATCGGTTATGAGACCCGTCTAACATTTGCTGGAGCATGGGTATTTACGTACACTTTTAATGAAATTATATACATGAATATACAAATGTCTACGATTTGTCTTCATGAATTTATCATTTTTATATTGTAGTTTTGTCTTAAAAAAACTTTGGTTAATAATACATTACAATAGATGTTTATTAGTCGGTTGATATAAAATCGCATACTGTAACAAAATCGTCTCTATGAAAAGTGCAAGCTTGGCCGACGAATATGTCACATTGGACAAATGCCATACTCAAATATATCACATTTATAGTGTTTTTTATAAATTTGTTCACACAATATGCCTTTGATTTTGTTTTCATACAGCCGTGTTGATGTATTAAATCAATAAAATGATATTATCTCTTAAAAACATGAGCATTTTTACATTTTTGATTAGTTATTCTGCTCCAGTTATGGTGCTTACCTTGTGCGACTTTACACATTTGCTGAATACGAGTTCTTGAGAGGCTTTTTAAAGAAGACTCAAGGTAACTTTCTCTCAACATCAAAGTTCTTTTGAACTTATAAGAATTTGTAAATCAGTTAGTAATGTTATCCTACGATGTGAATACCAGTAAGATGCAAACTATTATTTGTAAGAAATGCATGATTGCATTGTTTTAAAGTCAAGCATATGCTTCTTATTTCAGTTTGTGTTAAAATTTTCAGACACATTCCCTTAGTGTTTCGTTACCGATTTGACTAAAATGAAACAATTTTACTTCTAGCAATTACTCCATGGATTGGATTGACTGACAAGGCCTATGAAGGACTATGGAGATGGTATGGCACAGGGACCCACGCTACATTCTCTGACTGGGGTCCTGGAGAACCCAATAATAATGGCAATGAAGATTGTGTACAATTATATTCAGGCTATGACTACAGGTGGAACGATACGCCATGTCATGGACAACTTACACCACTGTGTGAAAAAGACTCAATATAAAAAACTCAAGAAGATATTGCTATGCTTACTTATCATTATCACATTTTATAAACCGTGATGTTAGCCTTTTTTGGAAATATTTTTTAAATGTGTGTACCAATTGATTTAGGTCAAGAACCAATAACTTGTAAAATTTCAGGTCATTCAATTTTACCGTTTTTGTTCCAGAATTATCATTATTATTTTACAAAATGACCTTAAATTTCAATGCGTTCCAAAGCTTTTCAGTCAAAACCGACTAGCAATCGCACAATAATCGATTTTTAATTATTAAATTCTGATTTTTTTTTATATATATATATATTATGCATTTTTTTTCCAATTGTAAGTGTAAAATTAAAAAATCATAGGCTTTGGACTTCAGTGGAGATCCTTTCTTGCATGTTTTTGTAAAAAAAAACATCTGAAGATGCACAAAAAGGCATTTAAAGCAAGCCTAGCCAAGCAGGGCGAGGGATTAAAAAGTTCTCAGGGGCTAATCTTTATCTTTAAACTTAGAAAACCAAATGGTTATTTTTTCCGTACATATTTTTGTAACAAATAATATTTAATGAACCTTTGAAATAGTTAACATTATGTTTTAGTAACAAACCATACTATTCTCTCGCCTGGTGGCATTTGTTATTTTTATCCGAAAAGTATGGTTAAAATGATACTACAATAAAATGAAGATACCTGCCTAAACAGGAAGAAACTAAATGTAATGAGAAACGTTTTATTTTAAAATACCCACTTCTTTTTTTATAAAAACCGGGCATCAACCTGAATTGTATTCTTTAATACGATAATAAAAGATTGATAAGATTCATATGCGACCGGCTGGCTATAATCAAAAGTTCGAAATTATTTGCTTTTTATAAGAACTATAGGACTTGTGCCAGGGTCATTTGCTTAGTGTGTGAAAAATATCCATTCTGTTCGTGCGATACAACGACTTTCTTGAAATAGCACAATTACATTGTAGCAACATTTGATCTTCCTCTATCAGTTAAAGTGTGGAAGCAAGACGCCATTTAAAGTTTGCAATGTTGTAGTGACATGAACTTTCAACTAGTATATACTTATCCATATATATTGCGACTAAAATGATACATGCTTGTAAATTTGCTAAATAAAATATGTTTAAACTAGCTATATACTATTTCTAAACATTAGTGACAACATACCTAATCGCTTAAATACATGTAACCTTTATCATTGTTGATTAAAAAAAATATCTAGGAAATATCGCATGCATATGCTATTGTGATGCTTGGTATCGCACGAGTTGACTGTGTAAGGTTGTATTTCGGTCAATATCAATTTTTCAAATATACACGTATATGATATAATATTCTTCAGCTTAAAAGTCCAAACATGTACTTTATTAAATTTTTATACATGTATTTACACAAATATATGTCCTTCTGTTACATCACGGAACTTGTAGAGATTACAAAATACTGAAACAGTTACAACTGAGCATTAAATTTTATATTCCTTTAATTGCTTTTGATAGCATGACCAAGGGACTGGCCCTTCCTGTCAATATGAAATAACGAAACATCGACCTGCTGTTAAATAGCGTTGCCCAGAAATTTAGGTAATTTATGGAACACGAGTCAAATCTATTTCTGTAAGTAAAATAAAACAACAAAAATATGAAGACTGCAGGAATTGATTGATGTTGTATTGGGAGAATGTGAATGGTATTTCTGCGTCTGAACTAATTGCTACGTAATACTAAACTTACAAAATCGTCGGTTACAATCTTTTGTTTATGTTCAACCTTATACTTTCTTAAACATGTGCATTTGCTGACGATATATTTGTCTTGATCAGCCGAGATAACATTAACAAGTTAGAAAATCATAATCTTCCGGGTAAACAAGTAAACAGACGTGATGTTTTTTTCTTAGTTGTCACTCCTCCGAAAACCATTTGTCGAGTACGCGAGGACATTTAAGAGGGTATTTTTTCGAAAGGTCACACCAGTCAGCGTGCTATTCGCGAGTCTTTGTAAGATATAATTAGTTAAGATTAATATCCAAATACCAGTCTTACATCTTTTGCATTTCATGAAACATATTTTATTTTGAATATTTCAGATACGGATTTTAAAAGTTTGTTGAAAACAAATTCAAGTAAGATGAAATGTTTTTTCAATATCTTTTATTTTGTCATAAATACTTTTAAAAGGATGTTTTTCATTTTTAACACGTTGAGAAGTAAAATATGATTATCATTTTTGGAAAAAAAACCTTTCACGAGCTAAATATAATGACATATTGTCAATCAAAGTTTAACACAGGAATTGTTTTATAATGATCTTTAGATACGGCGTAAAACTTTGACGAAATGAAGACTGCAATAGTTTTGCTGCTTGTCGTTGCCTGCCTGGCGGAAGGAATTAATGGAAAAGGTAAAATAATTTTTTTTATCACTAACGGCATTACTAGTTCATAACAAATCAGCGGAATGAAAATTCTAAGACGTAGATAAATAAGTTATGATTCCTTCTACAATTGGACAATTTGTCTTCCTAAAATGATACTATTTTTTATGAATTGCATCTTGTTTGTATAGTATAATTTTGTAGATATTTGGTATAATTATGTTGAATAGATACTGGTTTTTATGCATGTATATCATTGTCTGTGTAAAGGATGCTGATTTAAATTTTTAAAAGGTTTTTGTTAAATTTTTAGGGTCGGTCTACAATGCAGGGTGGGGAAAAAATTTTTTTTTTTGTTTAAAACAAACCCCTTTTGGGAAAATATAAGCGAACCCAAAAGTATATTAAAGCCAAAAACAAATTTATATAAACATTTAAATTTTTTAATTTCGAATTAAATTATGTTTTAAAAAGCCAGGTAGATTAAAAAATTTTGGAAGTAACTTTTTGCACATTTTTCCCTCTTTTTTTAAAAATAAATTTTTAGCTTTTTCCCGTTGCCCCAGGTTGGATAGCCTATAAAGACCATTGTTACCACATTGGTTACGGAAGTCGTTTAACGTTTTCTGCTGCACGGGTATGTAGAAAGTGTGTATGTATAACAAAGAAATGTTCCTATATGGCAAATTAATATTTAGCTGTATTTTTATACACAAATATTTACAATCTTATGAATACTAGAAATATTTTATTTTTATTTGGTTTCTGAAATTAGTTACTTCTCTATTTATTGCATTTTTTGTTATGATATTTCTTTTTTAAAATCTTCTTCACGGTTATTTTGCGTCATGTGTAATTTTGCAGATTGCAGTTCTACATTATAGATGTTTACTTTGAAAGCTATGTACGTGAAATAGCCTACAATTTAAATGATTGTATAAAGAATTATAGAAACATACCTGAGTTTACAAAGAATATTACAACTTCCGATTGAAAATGTTTATTTGTATTTTCAGCGGTATTGTCAACGTCTGGGTGCTTACCTTGTTCGGCCTGACACGTTAGATGAAAATACTTTCTTGAACGGATTTCTTAAGAAATCTAATGGTGAAAATTATTTTCTTTTCATTTCAAACAATTGTTTAAAGCAAGATTGGATTTATCCAAACAGAACTTGGGAAATATCAAAGCATATTGAAACGATTGCATTTGAACAACACTTAGGTTACACGGCTTAAGTTTAAGTAAAAACTTTTAGCAATTTTATATTGCTTAACCATACTTCAATTTTGTAAAATCAGTATTGTCATACATCATTTTAATTTTCACAAAGTAGGGCATTTGTACATATGGCGTATGTTATAATCAGAAGAATTTTTTGTGAACATTTCTAGCTGGAAGTACGTGGATTGGACTGACTGACAAGTCTCAAGACGGAATCTGGAGATGGTATGACACAAAGAGTCTTGCAACATGCTCTTACTGGGCTCTAGGGGAACCTAACAATTTTGGCAATCGCAATGAAGAGTGCGTTCATTTTGACTACGGTAAAGACTATAAGTGGAATGATAATACTTGTCGTCACATGTTTACACCTTTGTGCGAAAAAGACTAAATGTTAGGTCCTTAAAGATACAAAATTGACACAAATTCAATTGCTAGTTTTTTTTTCTGTATTTTCTTCAGTTACTTTATTTTTCTATTTGAATTAATAAATATAAAAAATATTTCATTTACTTTCGTTTATTTAATATACACAACAATATTTTTAGATACAAATTATAACATTGTTTTCAAATATCATAGTAAGTTATACATTAACAAAACAATTATTTGAAATAAGCTGTCAATAAAATTACGGACATTGCAATTTATTGTTAGTTTTTATTTGTATACTGCTGACAATTTATTCTTCCTTCATACTACCTCCCCAAAAACTGGCACGTCAATTTTACGGAAAATCACTTGACGAACGAAATTTTGAAGATCGCATATGTTGATAACATCATTGACCCTCTAGAGAATTAGAATAACAACCAGATGCAAACGCTGTATGCATATTTATATGAGCCCAAATGACTGATGACCTTGTTGGCCACCTTACCAACAATAATAGTTTATGTTCCCACAAACTTCACCCATGAATTTAAGTGTCTATAGGGCTATAAAATCAAACCTAAAGCATTCATTCGAAGAATGATACTCTAAGCAAATTATGAAACGATCTGAAGAAAGAGGCTCGAACAATATTAAACCAATTCCACAGCCTATCGCAAGTTTGAATGAATATGTATCAAAATGGTTCGTACATATGTACCAAACCATTTATTTCAATTCTGCTTTATGGTTGTTTTGAAAAAAGACACAGAACAGCCTATCCAAACGTTTCTTTGTTTACATTAAATCAGTTTTTAAATATCTAATTTTGCCCTTTAACATTTTACTTAAAAGGTTTTGTGTATTTTTACTATATTTTCAGCTGCAGTTTGTAACTAAAACATATCTATACAAATTGATCAAGGAAGAAATTTTATTGTTACATTCAAAAAATGTTTATATAGAGTTGATTATGTTTCAGTGTCACGTTTGAAAATAATGTACAATAAATATACAAAAAACCCAAAAACATTTCTATGTTCAAGGGAAAGAACAAAATTATATGAAATTGAAGACTCGGTTTGATTGAGTCTGTTCATGAGAGAAACTGCAAATGTGTAACATCCCTTACTCCTCCAAGCAAATGGCTGCAGCAGTATTCAATCTTCAAGAGTAAATGTGCTGGAATCAATGATCCCGACGGACCAGAAAGAAGTAAATTACGGGCTGATGATGTCTTTCATGTGTCCGAATTATTTACCAGAGTAATACATGATAGAAATGTATTACATTACTCTATCTTTTACTATTCTGTGACACAGACGACACTTGCAGGTCAGGCCCCCAATACATTGCTCCACCCTAGTCAACTGTCGAGTACATGTAACTTTTTAACATTTTAGCACGAGTTGGCCATCTGTCTCATTCCCAATAATTTTTAGGTCCACGATAGTGTGGGCAGAGACTATCAGTTCCGGCTGATTTTAATATTATTTGAATCTTCTTATGTTTTATGTAATTGGGAGCTTTGAAAAACTAACTCTTCAAGGAGAAAATTAGCTCTTCAAATAAAGGGAAGAAAAAAAACATATGTTAGGACATTTATTGTAGTTATCCTTCTTTATTAGACATGACTGTTTAGAAGCATAGTAATGCTAATGTATATAGAATTATTGTCATTTTCTTTCTTTTACAAGATTTTTTTTATTTATACACAAATTTAAGCTACTCCAATAATGCATATATAGATCCTGTGAAGAAAACAGTATTTCGATCAACTATCTCATTAGTCTCATTGGGAGCAGGAAATGTTGTATAATTTAATTGAGATAATCCTTGTCCATGATGTTTATAAGTCTACCTACCATAAATGTGAACTTTCATATTTCATATGATACTTTTTTTACTCTTTCTTCAGTAAGTATCCACGGGAAGACCTAATTTATTTGTTTTTCGTATTACCCTTTTTGTTTAGGTTATATAGCTGGAGACACATTGAGGATAGGATGAAATAAATAAATAAATAAATTGTATATAAATGAAAGTAAAATTATCTCAAAAAACTATATGTTTAGAAATATTATATAATGCATTTATAAACCATCGTTTTCTTCGAACGTTTTCTATGTTATCTCATCAATTTCAGAATTTATAAATGTAATATGAAAATCTTATGCCTCCTTTTTAATGTTAAATGATTTACTGTATGATTTGCATTTGTATGGTTATGCATAATTGTATTTGAAGGAATGAAAAATAGAATAAAGATTAAATTGCCAATCAAGGCTCAATAAAATACTTTATCAATCTTTGATGGTTAACTGGACTTTGCTTATTTCATGTGAAAATTGAATGATGAATAATGATGAGACAGATGACATATATGTGCTACTTTGTAAAAAGTATCTGAGAGTTAAAAAGAGTGTCGAATGCGATGTTGAGAGCAGGTCTTACCCCCAGCTGTCTGTGTTCAATGGAACACTTATAGACACTAATCTGGTGGATCCCTCATAGTAAAACCAAAAAGCATCACACAATATTCGATTTGAATTGTCAATATATGATTATTACACTTCAATTTGTTTCCTGTTCGCGCTGACCAAGTGCATTACTGATAGTTGATATTAAAAGAAATACTTTGTACAGTGTATTGAGTGTGCAGGCGGTGCATACTCTTATGAAAGCACTGTGAACGAACGTACAATTAATTTCGAAATATGTTAGATACCCTTAGTCTCGCGTAGCTGTTACTGAATCGAAACTATCCCTGTTAACTATATTGACTTGTTTTTGTTTGTAATTTATTTAAATTGATATGTCAATTTTGTAACTTGTTTTGCTTTGTAATATACATAAATTAATTAATTGATGAATGAATGAATGAATGAATGAATGAATGAATGAACGAACGAACGAATTAATTAATTAATTAATTAATTTTTCAATATATTGTAGCAAAGTACACTATCTACAATTTGATAAAAATTTCAACTAAGTCTTATATCAACGGCATAGCATCAGGAAAAAAGTCAGAACGATACAAAAAATCTTATTTAGAAACTTATACAATATACCTTGCAACTTTCCAACTTTGAAATTAAAATATCTACTGTTGGTCATGTTAAAAAATGATAAAATATTTGATTCTGAAAGGAAATACAAAATGCACAAGGTGACTGATATCATAGCCAGCGCTTAGATTTTTTAACCAAGAATTGCCACATGATACAAATAAGTTGAATAATAACATCAATGTGTGTTCAAAATTGGATACAGTGTTTGAGTACAAATGGGGTTTAAGCTGCGAAAGACCTATCAATGATGTAGGAGACGTCAAAAGTGCTAAAGAAAATAATGATGGCTAGATGAACAATAAAGTTGCTTTGACTACAACCCCATGTCTATACGTACTATAAACGCGAACTTACTTTCTTTGATACAGGTGTCGATGTTGAACATGAAGAAACCTGATCTGGTAGAGTCCTTTAATTTCGTTTAAAACATTTTTGTCCGGCTATCAATGAACTTGCAAACATTGACTTGCAGGGCAAGTGAGGAATACGGTGAACTGTAGGTACGTGAGAAAAATACTCCTATATAGTATATAAAAAGGCATTATATCGAAATGAATTTACATTTTTTTTTCAGTGTGATATATAATTGTTATACAATAAATATTTCAAGTTTTAAAATCTACCTTATGAAATGACTTTTATTTATCTATTTATTGTGTAACATAAACATTTTATTGTCAATACACGATTTTCTGCAAAAATTGATTTACTTTATATTGATCATTAATAGGTCAAAATGGATTTAAGCACTTTCTTAATTAAATGATATATTATATAGATTTGTTGTGATTGAGGTTGTATACCACACTTAAGTGAAATTGTATATATGTATATAATTATGCTAATAATTTTTAAACATCAAAGAATATGTAAAATATATACTGCAAATATTGGTGCACATTATATGCTATCATTAAAATATATGCATTCTTTTCTTATTGGAAATTTTGACTTAGAATTTATAGAAAATAAATTTCTAATTACCTACCTTTATTATGAAATGTTTAATTCGGTAATATCTTTATAAATAACGCTTTTTTGGAACATACTATATTGATAAATCTTATTTTCAGCATCATAGTTATGATATAAAACCATAAAACACGGTGCACAAAAGCGTTCTTAACCACCCGCCATAATAAGGGGAAATAACTAATTAATTTGAGTGCATTGTGTGATAAAAATATGCACTGTATCTAGTCAGTATACAAAGTAAATGTAGGCAGTGAAAGATATAAGTGTGGTGAATTTCAACCTCTTAACGACATACCTTGCTATTTCACACACTAATGCGATCAACATGAAGATTTATTTTCATTCTGACGAAGTGGAAATAACTTATGTTTCATTACAGACCAATCACGTCTGCAGGGATAAATTTTCCATTTTGGCAAACATTTTGATAATTACGATTTTTTGGAAATGTTTTTTTTCTACATTCTGTATCTGTTTGATCTTTACAAGTTGATTGTGTTTATTAACTTAAGATGTGCCATTCTGTGACGATGTGTTCTGTAATATAATTAATTTTAAAAGAACAGCGAGTGCGTTTATTTTTACATTGGTGTAAAATCAACAGTACATGGACATCGCAATTTATCTAGCCACATTGTTCTCCCTTGATTTTCCTTATGAGTATGCCAACCAATGGTTGTTGAAAAAATCTAAATGAATGCGTTTATTTGCAAAAACTTTTAACTACATTGCTGCAAAGATGGATGGTTTTCATATAGAGGACATTGTTACTTCATCGATTTGGGTATAAAGCTGTCGTTTCCTGCAGCCAGGGTATGTACACACAATCATACAATAGTATGCACTTGTTTCGAGCGTTAAATTTTTACGATGAAAGAATTTATTTAAAACAAGATCAGGCAGATATTAAGTTAATGATATTATTTTATGTTTTTTAAACCAAAAAAAAAAAAATATCTTTAATGGTTCTAAAATCAATGGTTTGGTATATTTTACACTGGTATGAATGTATGCATTTGTATGTATGCGTGCATATGTGTATGTGTGTGCAAGTGCGCGCGCACGCGCGTTTGTATGTGCGTGTGTGTGCGCGCGCGCAACAACGCATGCGTATGTTTTTACTGATAAAAAGTTATTCTCTATTTGTTTATATATATATATATCAGATTTACTGTTTAAATCTTGGGGCAGACCTAGTCCAGCTCGAAACAATTGCTGAAAATAATTTTCTGAAGGGATATCTAAAGAAAATCGAAGGTAAATCTCTAACATCAACTTGAGTTTATTGCTTATAATGGTCGCATGATAAACATGCGACATCATGAGATAAAATACTATATAATATAAATGATACTGCTCGCTTGTTCGTTTCTGTTATTATTTGTTTCTGTTGTATTATGTAATTATTTTCCGACCTTTTCTCATTTATAATGTGTAACATATATAACACCTCGATATCATAACCGATGGTTTCAAGCATTGCCAATAATTGCTTTAGTATCAAAGATAAAAAAAAGATAAAACTAAACTTTGGCTATTTAAAAACATCGTTTCACAGAACACATTGTAACAACAGTGAGATACTGAAGATATTGAAGAGCGCTTTCATTTTTTTAATTTCATTATTTTTATTTTATTATAAATCTTTATCTTTTATCTTTTATTTATTTATTTATTTATTTTGGGGTGGGGAAGGGTCCGTATCCTTAGTGTCTGAATGGGCGGATTGACTGGACCCTCATTTAACCAAGAATACGCTTTCATTTTCTAGCAAAACATGCTTGGATTGGCCTAAATGACATGACTCATGAAGGTATATGGCGATGGTACGGCACGAATGAACATGCTACATTCTCTGATTGGACACCTGGACAACCAGACAATGCAATGAACATTGAAGACTGCGTGCACTTTAATCATTATCACTACTTTAAATGGAACGATTTCCCGTGCCGAAATTTAGTTGCACCTTTCTGTGAGACAGACCAAATATGAGCAAACATTTGAATGAAATAAAATCCGACGATTACATATATCATATTAATATATATATGTTTGTTTAAAATTTAATCGGAAGCATATATTTTGTAAATCGAATAACATGTACGAGTAAAACATCAAACCTGTATTTTCAATCTTGTTTCTTTTTACTCTTACGTTTTGCTACTGGATCTATCTATTTACACGTTTAGATTACTCTACTTGTATTTTAACAGGGAAGAAACAAATTGAGTGGTTTGAATTTTAAAAGTTTTCATTTCTTTTTCTACAGGCATCAACTGTTTTGATTTCACTGTTTTCAACTGTTTTCTTTTAACTTATAAATCATGTTCATAATATGTAAACAAGGAAGAAATGTTAACGTTGCATTCATAACAACTGTTTGTGTTTTACATAAAGTTAAATATGTTAAGTTAGATAATGTCATATAACATAAACTAGATAAATACAGAATCCCTAAAGAAAGCCCAACAAGAACAAAATTGAAAATGTTGCAGGCTCGGTAACGAAGATACATTTTTAACAACATAGGTATGTGTTTGTCCACCTTGTAAACGAACGTGGATTATCATTATGGTTTGCTCGTATTTCTGAAATATTTTAAAAACATAGCTTTCTTAGAAATCTTAAGGACATGGTAAGCTGAATATCAGCCACAAATACATTTTAGATAATCATGATATGATGATTACAGTTAAGTTGACCAAGTGATAAATTGGTGGTCTAGCGGAGTGACTTTGTTGGCCTGGCACCCTAGTGATGTCAAATTTGCGGCTACCGGAGTGAAGTTGGTGTGATTATAATGTTAAACATCTTCGAAATTATGTTACGTTACTCTGCCAAGTGTCATTTCATGAATATTGTCAATACATGAACATTGTCTTAATACATAAAAGTCATAGATAACATAATACTAGTATTTGAGAATATCATTCAAGTTATTATTATAGTAAATTTGTGATTACCAGCGCCGAAGTTCAGAAATCCATTTACCACATATATTCCCTGGTTTGTTTCAATTAATTTTCATTTTATCATGCTATGAATTTTGAATATCCCATTCATTTGAAGGGATATCAGTTTCAACAGCAATGAACAGTGTATAACCTGGGCAGACAGTGAGGAGACTATACAGCGACTGATAGATATTGTCATTCTTCACTTACATTCTTATGTGAGAAAAACTAAGTAGACATAAGAATAAATTCATAACTTTAAGTAATCCGAAAAATAAATAGTTCGGTTTTTATCGGCCCGATCTTAACAAACATATTTTCCATAAATCAAGGTATTTGTGTTGGTTGTTTAAATGACTGTAATAAAATTGTCGCAGTATCTAATGTTAACACTGTAGTTATATATATTATATCATACCTGTACTATCCTAAATGCCATTATCTTTATATTTGCGTCTTTTTTACTTTTCGTCATATGGAGATCAACCTTATACTCGTTATAGCTCGAACAAAGAGCCATGATTTACCCCTAACCTCTGATTAAATAAAAACAGTAAATAACTACTAAATTTCGAAATTTTAACCTGACGTCATAGCGCTAACAATGAAAATGGCGGAATCATGTGACTAAAGTAGTTCTTATATATCGCAGTATTATGCGAGAGGTCTATTGCAAAGCATAAATGTCAAGGAGATCAGAATGCGCTAATAAAAATGCATAGCAAATGCTTTCATCACTTTCTGGGAATAATTAATAGTTTATCAAATTATTTGATTAAATATGATTTTCTACTTACTTAGTCCTATGAAGAACACCAAACTCACAAATGAAAATACCGGTGATCCTTTACACAGGTTTGACTGTATTTTCTCAGTTTGAACTGAACAGGTATAGACAAGTCGGCACGGCATAAAACAGATTCTGGCAAGCCGTAACAGCCGTACCCGGATTCTCTCTATCATAATCAGCCCGAACCAGATTCTCGCTAGCCGCAACTGACGGAACCGTATCTTGGGTATCAAAAACAGCCCGAGACAGATTATGTCTGGCCGAAACAGCCGGATCCGGATTATGTCTTACTATCAAAAACAGCCCGAACCAGATTCTAGCTAGCCGGAACAGCTGAACAACCAGAACTGTTGCGGGTGTTGCAGCTCGCCCGCCAGCTACACTCTACACATTGTGATGTATATAACAACAAAAGTGCTTCTTTCTAAAAATTTTCAATCGTACAATAAGGATTTTAATTTTTCTTGTATATGATTATTAATAATTTCATTTGCCTTTTAATTTGGACTCTATGACGAAAAAGTGTAACTTACTTCTATTCATTGGTTATATAAAAATGTGCACTTCCTTTTCGATACGTGTGCAGATTATATTAAGCATAAACAAACATGATCAAGTGACGTCCTTGAATTTGGTCCGGGTATATGTTAAAAGTTGATAATTATCTTAATCAATTAGCATGCAAACATTGTCATGCAGGGTTGACAAGGATTAAGGCTAACTGTAAGTGCGTAAGTAAAATATTCTGAAATGAATAAACATATCTAAATGCCTAGAAATTATTCATTTCATTATTATTTCCATTTGTTTGAATGTAAATTGATACTCTCTGTTTTAACGTTAATATTTTATTGTTAAAACATGTTTTCCTGCAAAAATGTGATTTACTTTATTTGGGTTAATTGATTAAGAGAATATTATTGAGATAATATTGTGATGAAAATGGGTTTATTTGTCAGGCAAACTGAATTATTACCAAAAATTTTCAAAGATGAGGTCATCTTGAGTAACAGTTTGTTGTTAGAAACCTACAAATTATCAATGAAGGTGAAAATAAATGCCAATTTATTATATCGCGAACAAATGAATAATTTGAAGATATTTTTTTCTATTTTATAATTTTGAGAGAAGAGTTCGTAAAACTTGTGAAAGCAACTTGACCTTCGATTTCAAAGTTCTGAAATCTTGCCAGATTCATGAGATTCGATTCATCTCGTCCATCAAATCAGATCATCCTTTTTATCAATACCGTGCACTTAAATAACTAATCCTTCACCAGCCGATTTTGGTAGACTTTGTCCGGTAGCTCGCAATTACCATTACCGTCCATGAACATTCATGAAATAAAACTTTATCTACTTACACTGATGATTATCTGAACCTTAAGTTAACAAACACAAAAGTTTTATAGATAAACAGATAATTATCTGTAAGTGTTGGTAGTTTAGGGTACTTTTTATTTTAGTGCTTTTGGAAGTTAGAAACTTTTTTCGTTACAGAAAAAAATATCTAAATAGTCTGATAGATATCTGTTATTTTTCTTGTTAACACAAAAAAACTTAAATTTTTTGTCAGATAGTTAATGCGATAATAATATGTTTAACTGTTGGAAGAAATATGCCACTACTAATTAACTTTCACAATAGATTGCATTTAGAAGAAAAGAAAAACATTCATAACCTCATGTATGTCAAATAAGAATTTGTATCCCAAATTATTTATAACTTATTTATTAACTAAGTTGAAATACAATTTTCAACAACCTGTTAATCAATTTATCGCCTGAATTTGAATTATATGTGTAGTTATGTTTTTCCTATTATTGTGTACGACTGAATAAAACTGTTTATGATTGTCAAAGCTAGACTATGTGAGCATATCGGCACTCGTATCTGAATATGATATTTGACCTAATATAGATATATAAGTATCTTTTGACGAATTACGTGTTATTGGTTTCGTTTGTTCTTTTCTGGGTTTACGTGACTGATTACTATCATAATACACGCACTCGATTTTAACTGGTAATATTGGAGGGGGGGGGGGTGCGTTAATTGAATGCCGCCCTTCCTTTTTGATCGTTGTATTCATACTTTATGATATTATTACTTCGTTAATATTTTTAATTTAATGGACCTCTTTGCTCCATATTCATATATGTGACCGCCTTTTAAATAAAATTTAGACTTTGGATTGATTTATTTTTATAAAAACGGGCTCATTGACCTTAAACATCTTCTAAATATTTTGTTGTTACATTTTTCTGGTCTTTTGTGATCACTGTTTTCAGCACATTTGAATTGCGCTAAAGCTGGTACTTGGGGCATGATAAATGTTGCGCTTAAACACTTTGTCTGATAAATACAGTCAACATTTTTCAAATGATATTTTCGTTTTGCTTGCTTACAAGAGATCACCCCTTTAACTGATATTTATTGTAGCGGTCGATTTGCTTCCGTTTATTGATGAGAACGATTAAATATTTCAGAAACTAGAAGCTGTTCCCATGGAAACAAAAAGACGTAGGACTACTGAAGTAGTAAAATCCAAGGAATCAGTTCAGAAACAGTCCGTGAAAAAGAACTCAGTGATTGGCTGAAGTTGTTTCCAATAAAAACCATTGTCATAGCTGTGTTTATAGGGCTGCTTTACTTATTTGCCCGAACATTTTTACACAACTTACTATATTTTACCATAAGATTTTCTCCGGAGCTAAACTATGTAGATGGACCTCCTCCTATGTAAATTTATAATGTAAAAGTCCTTAAGCTATAAACTGTGAGAATAAAAGCAACAAAAGCAACAAGGATAGTATTGTCGCACCCCCCCCCAAAAAAAAACAACAAAAAAAAACGCCTGTCAAAAAGTTTTGATGGAGATGTGGGCTTTATTGACAGAAGTGTTAGCTGGCAAGCAAATTTAGACTATACTCCTGGCACTGTGTTTGTAACAAATTAGTTTTTTGATGTCAGAAGCCCAAATTAAATAGTGCAAGCAACGAAAGTGACATTCTGCTGAAAGGAATGATAAAATTCAAAAAAAAGTGCAATATACAGCTGTATATATTTCTTTACTGAATACATTATTTAATATACTAAAAATATTTGTTTGGTTAGATTAAAGGGACTCTGAGGTTTTTTGACATGATGGGACTGAAAATATTTTTTCTGATAATTGTACCATTTGTTGAATGTTTAGACATCAAATGACCAATAATGAAAAGCGTTTAAACGCTTTTCACTCAAATCGGGTTAAGGGGAGCATAAAAATACGATTTTCAATTTATTTCAAAGTATATTTCTTAAGTTTCTCTGCATATATTTCTATTTAAAGTGCCCGAGCTCATTTATGTAAGAAATTCAAACGTAATGTTATTAGGCT